GCATTTAAAACTTATTATTACCTAACTAATTTTAAGTTCATTTTTAATATAAATGTCTCTTTTCACCGTTTGCCATTAACGCACGGATTTGACACTATACCCGTATTCCAAATGCGAGTGTTACGGACCTAGCCACCCACAGGCACCAACTTATATTGAATTTGCGCGTCTTGTGAAGCGGTCGATCCCAAAAGCGCGATATGCGATAACTAAGATTGCAAAGAAGGTCACGTGCAACATACCTAATTGAGACGCAAGCAGCCGCCTCAATTGGATAAATTAAACAAAAACCAAGTAAGGTGTTTGCAAGTGCAAAGCATATCTATCAAATATTATCAAAATATGAACTTATACTACGTATTATTACGTATGCTGCGCGCGCTGTATGTGCTAAAGAAATCATTTTATAAATGCTGGAATCTTGCGGCTGTCATGGCAATCACGATGAACCCTCAAAGAACGACGAAAGGCATTGGCACCCCTCAAAACCAATATGATACGGAATCAATGGGTCTATGAAGAGTTTTTCCTGCTCCTCTCTACAGCGCAATGAACTCCCTGAACAGCTTAAATACATATAAATGGATGAGAAGACCATTTAGTGAGTTATAGCACAAAATTCCCCGTTGTGATAGGCAAAAGTAGTATAGACGTAAGTTTCTAGCTGCCTGCAGGGCCACCAGAATGAAATACGGGTGCATATTGCTGCACATAAATTATAGGCATATATATTGCATGCCCAAATTTGACAGTAAGAAAATTAGAACCGCCTACTGAACTGCAAACAACTTAATTCGGGTAAAAGCAGAATGTCAACAGCTACTTTGATACTGTAAGTCTTTGCATAAACATATATAAATTGTTTGTATGTCATATTTACTTTAGAAGTGGGGAACGCGAAATGGTGCGCATTGATTTCGTTGTTAAAATGAAATACGGTGATATTCATTCCACTATGAACCCAGGATGGATGAATCTTCGTCTTTCTGTCGGATATGCACCGATGTAAACTTGATTTAACAGCTATGGTAGTTAATTTTTGGTGGTTATATTCAGAACTTGCGCCATAAATTCAAGGTGCATGGTGACCACCGCGAATGCGTACGGTGCATTATGGTGCTACCCTTCCGTGACGGCTGCTCGATGGGACTTTGCTAGGCCGCATTAAAAAGGTTCCGGATGACATATACAGAACAGTTGTATAACTTTGTGTGCTGTCCCATTTGTGACTCATTTTGCGCAATCAGCAAATATCGCGGCGTCATTAACCCATTGGATTAAAACCATTTTGCACTGCTGTTAAAACGAAGACCAGCACGACCTTTGCGCACACGAACACACTATTTAAACATAGTGATAATGTACAACCTTGACCACCGTTGCACATCAAGTACTTAGTGCATTAACCTAGATTCCATTCTCCCCGCTGCTATCACAAAAGCTCGAAAGTCACTGAAACGTTTTGCTCCTGACACAGGCTTCCGTCGATTTGTGCGAACACTATTTAACTCAGTCCTTGTTTCTAACCGTTTCTCATTTTCCCACACCGCTGTTGTATACCTGTATACTTGGAAGCACACACTATTTCGTCGCCTGTTTTTTCCAGAAGTCCGAACTGCACCCACATTTAAATTAATAAAATAAAATTTTACGCGCGATAAGGCATGATATGCCTGCTCAGGCCGAATGACGACAAGCCTACTAGCGCCCCAAAGGATAAATAGTTCCGTTGACTAATTGTACACTGTTTCTTCTTATTTTAATCTCCCTTACATTACGTCCATGTTGACCTACTTTCGGCTCGACACTCGACCGTCTTAAAAGTGCCCGCGCCAAAGCGTCCCTCCTGTCTTGCTACATCTGACCGCGTCTTCTTTTATCCCATCGAATAAATTCCGCTGTGTTCGAGTCCAATTGTCTTTTTATATCCCAGCTTAGTTTCGCACTCCGTCTCCTTCCAGTGCTTACTAGTCCTACAACTTAGCGACCCCGATTCACACACGCAAATTCAGATTTTTTCGTCCTTTGCCTTTTTGTAAGTTGGGTCATTTTCTCGATTATATTCGAGTCTGCATCTGATTCGTGATTACGTTTATTAGGTACTTCCTGTTGTTGTTCATCGCTGGTCTACTTGATTCTCATTTCCAACTTGGCACCTGAGTTTTAGCACAGCGTAATCATGTTAACTTAGACTGTTCCTAATTTCATGGAACACAGTCCAGAGTTTTGGATTGCGATATTCGAAATCGAACTGGAAAGGTGTACAATACGTTCGTCCTAATTCTCTTTTCGTGAGTCGTGATGCCGGTAGATGACCTTCTACTCTGCCCATCGCATGAAGCAAAGTACGAAATCATGAAACTAGCGATCCCAAAAAGTAACAGCCCAGTGCGAGAGCTCTATTTGAACAGCTCAATTGTCTCAAGCTGAAGGCTCTAAGCCGTCGAGGCTGCTCTACGAACAAGCAAATCGCTGTTCCTTTATTCTTGAACAAAGACAAGCTGAATGAAAGGTACTTTAAACGCCCTCCAGAGCAATTGTCGGTAATGCTGTCCATGTTTCTGGATATGCCGCTGCGGACGCTGCGTTCGAACGTATTTTGCAGCAGTCGACTAGTTTTTCCGGTAACTTATTCTCAGCGATGAAAACCGTGTTTCTTCTATGCACCAAGCTGTCAGACCAAACTGACCCTAAAGTCGAGGAAATTGCAGCAGCGTAGCTGCAATGAAGGCCTTCAGCAGCGTGTGCCACGGTCAGCTGCAGACCACGTTTTGGCTGACGCTCATTGCGGTCCGTCTGTGCTTGCACCGAATACATCTCGTTCGACAAGAAAGCGCAAGGTTTTCTCTAACGTCCTCAGTCAGACCATCCCAAATCCGTCGAAGAACTATGTTGCAATCAGCGCCAACATGGTGGAAGAGCTAGACGTTGTCAGGCTCCTTGAATTCGGCAAGACTCAGTCCATCATGGAAAGCGAATAGCGCTCATACTAGCATGGCTAACGTATTCCTCAATAAAAGAAAGAATTTGTCTGTTTTAAGTTAAAGACCGCGTCCTTCCGTTACGTTCCCCGCCGATACAGAAGCGGAAGTCAGCGTCAACCCTTCGAACACGAACGCCAAGAAATCAAAACCTGCCTGCTGTCAGTAGTCCTCCGATAGCTTTATTCGGTAAAAGCCTGATGAACCTGAAAAAAGCTTCGTCGATACTTTTAGTGGGGCATCATGGTTACGTCTGTACCCTTCTCAATTATCGGTTCCGACGTCCTCCGACATCTTGGGTCGCTTGTTGCTGCTGGTCGCCACAGACCTTTAGACGACCGAACAAAACCAGAGGTTGAAGGCGTTCCTACGGACGCCCCGCTAATCAGTCCCGTTTTCCGAATCACCGATGTACCTTTAGCTTATGCGAGCCTGCTCTGTGAATACCTGCGACTGCGCTGGCTATTTGCCGTGCGGCCGCATTTCACCTCAGCTTTAACTTTTCCCAAGGTGGTCATCCTAATTCTCCCCTCACAATATCGTGTGTTCGCACATTCGAACCAGTTCGACACGTTCTACTCAGTGCTTCCCAACTTTCGGATCTAATATGTGCGGGAAATACTCTTGCTCCTATGCCCGGTTTTCGGCATAGTTTTTGCCATGTTCTATGTGTGTACCTACATTAAACTGGAGTTTTTCGGGATAGGTTTGGTCTAATTCTGAAGAAGAAGCTGAAGGCACATAACCTACGCGTCAACAACCTGTAAGTTGCAGTATAACAATCGTACAGACAGTTTGCTCCACTGATCAACAGAACAGCTACAGGGGCGCTTGTCGACGCTCCATCTGCATCGTCGGTTAAGGCAGGTCGATTAACACACGTTGCTGCTTTGTGTGGGTGTGCATGTTCAATTGCAAAGTGATTGATCGCTGAACCAGACAGCCTGCTCTTTACGCCTTTCATCTGTCCCGACCGCCATATCTTGGTGAGGTTATTCCACTCTCAAATATTGTGCGTGCTTTGTCGTGTTTGTGTGCCATGCATGGCGCAAAGAACAATGAACAATGAACTTATACGGGTTAAGAAGCGTTGCTTTACAAGTCCCGTAGGATAGTTGGTAAGGATATCAACATAACAATAATCTTAATGAGGATAGTAACATAGTTAATACTTTAAATTTGAAAATAAGGACTTAGCGTTTGCTTCGCTCATCATCATCATCATCAACAGCAGTACATCAGCCATTTGAACTGATGCTTCGCTGCCATACAACCATGAGGACCTATGAAATAAAGAATAAGAGAAGAGGGAGAGAAGGGGGACTTACCTGAAAACCTTAATGCCCTAAGCAAACATTCAGGGTCAAGGCGCCTACACCTTGTGTTAACAACATACCGCCACAAACAGCTGGCTATCGTGCAAAGATAAGGCGGCATCGGCGAGACAGCTTCCTTGCGGCTTTCACTGCCACGCGTCATAATCAGCCATTATCCCGCAGATAACTCAGCACCAAACACACTTTAAACAGACAATCCGATTAGGAGACGGCAGCAGACGCGCCACTGGTGTCGGCTGCGAGCCATGTCCTGTAAAGTCTCGAGCCAAGCACAAGGTGAGTCACGTGGACTCCAACCCGGAAGGCGAGACGGACCAACGGCACCCAGTTTGGTCGTCAGTGACTTCATTTCCCGCTGCCAAGTCAACTTCTGTCCACCTCGAGCCTTGCGCCATCCGACACCTGGTAGACTGAACAAGGCCCTCCTAGGTAAGCGGTGACCAGGCATGCGTAGCACGTGCCCGAGCCAACGTAACTTATTCAGTGCTATCTGTTGTTCTAGGGAGCTAGCATGATCATCACCCCCTAGTACTCGCCTACGCACATCATCGTTGCGGATACGCTGGTGCCATCCGACACCAGCAATGCTTCGCAAACAACGATGATCAAAGACTTGAAGGCGCCTCAGATCTTCAGACCGAAGGGGCCAAGTTTCACTACCATACAGCAGAACGGCCCTCACTGTGGCCTTGTATACACGGCCTTTCAGACGGAGGGAAACTCCCTTCTGTCGCCAAAGATGACGCAGGTTCAAGAAGGCAGCTCTGGCCTTTGTAATGCGTGAGCTAACGTCAGTTTCTATGCGCCCATCATTGCTGATGCAGCTGCCAAGATAAGTGAATTGATCAACCACATCGAGTTCCTCGTTAGCAAGCGTCAAGGGGTCATCGAGTGGCTGGTGGTCCTGCAGCAACACTTTGCACTTTGAAGGTGCGAAGTGCATACCAAATAATGGGACCACTCTGGATAGGCTATTCAGGGTTGATTGTGCCGCCTCGACATTGTCGAAAAGCAAGACGATATCGTCCGCATAATCTAGATCAACTAACCGTTCACCAGGCAGCACTTCAACGCCTACATCGTGAGATTCCGCAAGGGAACACTCCATGATAGAATCCACGACGAAATTGAACAAAAACGGGGAAATCGGGCAACCCTGTCGAACGCCACTTGTAGTCGAAAAGCTATCCGATAGGGCACCATAGACCCTGACGCGGCCTGTAGTGTTCGAGTATAGAGCACGAAGGATGTTCACATATTTCGTGGGAACACCTTTCCGCGCAAGTAGTTCGAACAGAATCGATCGATCGACTGAATCGAACGCACTCTTGAAATCGAGGAACACAGCTATTGTCGGTCTGCGGTATGCGTGGCGCTGCTCTAGCACCTGCCGCAAAGTAAATATATGGTCTATACAGCCACGTCCTGGGCGAAAACCGGCCTGCTCTTCTCTAATCCGAGATTCCCGTTCTGCAGTGAGGCGACGAACGATAATCGAGGCCAGTAATTTTGTCACAACTGGCGTTAGGCTAATACCCCTGTGGTTCGCACAATCTGTGCGACTGCCCTTCTTGTATATTGCCACTATAATCGATTCGCTCCAATTAGCCGGCACACTCTCTTCGTTCCAGATACGTTCGAATAGGGAGGTCAGTGCTTTGCAGAGGACCTCACCACCATCCTTAAATAGTGCAGGTGGTAGGGAATCCGGGCCAGCGGCACGAAAACGATTAAGGGCTGTGATCGCGTTTCGGACTTCGGCCTCCGACGGAGGCTCTAGACTAACCGTCCATGGCTCGTCCTGCATCACCTGAGTAGGAAGAGGTCCGGGAGCAGGGGGCCAGCTGAACTGATGTTCAAAGTGCTCAGCCCAACGAGCCATACGGCGCTGCTTATTGTGTATCAGCGCACCCGCGCTGTCCCTGATTGTCTCACTGACACCTGGTTTTCTCGGACCAGTGGTGCGTATTAGCTGGAAGAGCTTCCGGTAATTGCCTACTGCTCCTGCCTCCTCCATTTCTTGAGCCCGACTGGTCCACCAGGCTTCCTTGTCAGCACGTAGGCTCCACTTTAGTTCACGCCTAATAGCCCGTCTGGTCACATTGTGTTCGGAACCAGCCGGGAGGTGCCTTCTAGCTTCCAAAAGGTTCACGGACCTCTCGGATATCCAGTGACTGGTGCGATGACGACTGATAGTGCCACAAGCAGATGCTCCTGCGTCGTGCATAGTGGCCGAGATCTTATTCCACTGAAGTTCAGTATCATTAGGACAAGACAGCGAGAGTTCGCTATGCAGTGCTTCTTGATAGGCTTGCCTGACAGAGGGCTGGGACAATTTCTCCGTTGCCAATCGGGGGAAACGCTGTGTGCGCCTTCCGGTAAAGTTCATGGAGAAACGACAGCGCACCAAGGCATGGTCAGAGTCGACACAGGTACTCCAGTACGAGCGGCAATCCAGAATGGAACCGCGCCACCTGTAACTTATGGCTATGTGGTCAATTTGGGTCCATCGCTGACCAGCTACAGGTGGACGCCAAGTGGCACTTCGGCGCCCACTGTGTCTAAAAGCAGTGCTAGTAAGAAACAACTGGTGCTCTGCACACAGTTGCAGCAGACGCTCGCCGTTGTCAGTCCGTTCGGAGTTAAGTCCATACTTACCACCCAGCTGAGCTTCTGAAGAGCTCAGACGCCCTACTTGTGCGTTCATATCCCCTGCAAGTACTATAATATCTGAACTAGTAGCACTGCGTAGCAGCGTGTTCAGTTCGTGATAGAAAGTGTCCTTGACTGCATTAGAACTGCAGTCCGTGGGAGCATAAGCAGAAATCACAAACAAACAGCGTTTTGTTTTACTTCGCGAATTCACCTTAGCTGATGTCGTCAAACGGGCTGCACATAAACGACTGTTCACCGGAATCCAATCAACCAACGATAACTCAGCCTTGGAGCTGAGAATGATACCTACACCAGCTTGACCGGTGAGTGCCGCATCGGCGTCTCCGGATGCGTGCAACCAATAACGAGAGGATAAGCCGGGTGCAGTCAATTCAATAACCCCGTTAGGGTCATTAATCCTAGTTTCGGACACACAACACACATCAACACCCAGTGTGTCCAAGGTGCGTGCGAGTGCAGCCTGCTGACCTGTTTGTCTTAGAGTGCGGACGTTGAAGGTCGCCATGGAAACGGGACAGCGTGGTCTTATAAGGGACTGTTGCCGATAGGCGTCCGATAGGTGCTGTGGGATGGTGGCTGCAGATGGTTCTACTCCAGTAGCACTTCGGTTGCTGTCAATTAAGCTGGGAATTATAGAAGGAAGGTTAGTAATGGGGGCCGGGATGGGAGTAAGAGAAAAAGGTGGAAAAGAAAGAAGGGAGGCGCCAGCAGTAGCATGCTTTCGCTTATCCGCCCTGCTGTATGCAGCAGATAAGGCGACCCTTGATAATCTGCGCGACGGCCGATGCAGGATGAAGTTTATGTTTGAAGAAAATGTCATGGTTGTATGTGGGCTGGGATACTGCCAGGGCGCCCAGACCTAGACAGGAGAACGATTAGGGTCCTCATCCAAAGCCTTTGGCTCAAAAGCCTGTCCGCAAGGCAGCGGGGTGGCAGTGATTTAGTTTGACAGAAATGGACGCCATCCCATTTCAAACCCCCAACCTGGAGGACCAGGAGACTGAGTTTGTCTGACCTCTCACCATTGACCAACCTGGTAGGAGTAGCTCTCAAGATGCTCGGAGGCATCACCCAGTATAGCTCAATGGGTCAATGAGGTACGCAAACCGTCGCACCACGTTAAGGTCCAGTCTCGTTGCGACGGGTTTGCTTCGCTGTAGTCCTGCGATCCTCTTAGATTCACAGCACCCACAGTTAACAACAAATAATTCCATGATAAAATCTATTAGTATGATGGGGACGTAGCGTTAAGTAACAAAGTGTAAGTGGATGAGTGCATCGTCCAACCGTCTATTAAATACTGTTAGTGTCGGTGCAGAGACGACCGATTCTGGCAGAGCATTCCACGGGTGACAGACATGAATGGAAAAGAAACTTCTGCGGCACTTCAGACGACTGTATTGTTCTGTGAGTTTTAATGAGTGGCCCCTCAGGTTTGTATTGGTACTAAGTTGCAGTAAAGGGCGGCACACATGACGTGGGTCTCGCAGAATCAAGTATTCCATGATCAGGTCATCTCGTAGTTGGCGATAGCTTCCACTGAACGCTCCCAATCGTTGCAGCCTCTCCTGGTAGGAGAGATTGCGCATTCCAATTACGTTCTTAAATGTCCGACCTTGTGGCTGCTCCAGTGCATTAAGGTCGTGTTTCAGCCATGGATGCCAGGCTTAAATTGCATACTCGACATGGGGGCGAACATACGTACTGAGCATTTGTCGAAATATGGAGCTGTTTATTTGTCCAAATGCCCGCCCCAACAGCCCGACGTGTTGGTTCCCGGTCTTCGAGACCTTTTCGGATTGCCTGGAGCAACCCAGGTCATCTTGAACCATGACACCTAAGTCACGTTCGAGAGTTGATTGTTGCAGTACACCCGTTCCGAGTCGGTTTGAGTAGCTCCTTTGATGTCGGATGGAAAGCACCTTGCATTTACTGACGTTGAACTGCAATAGGTTTTGGGTCGACCATTGATACACTGTATCTAAGTTAATTTGAAGCACATGTTGGTCGGTGTTCGCCTGGATTCTGCGCCAGATCATGAAATCGTCGGCAAACATTAGGAAGTTTGAAGCGATTCCCTGTGCAAGGTCATTAATAACCACCAAAAACAAACGTGGACCAAGAACCGAGCCTTGCGGCACACCACACTCGACTTGTAAGGGGTCCGATAAAGAGCTCCGAACTCTGACCACTAATTGCCTTTGAAATAGAAAGTTGGCGGTCCAGCTTAAAAGAGGGTCGCCGATCCCATAATGCTGCAGCTTGGATAGTAGTATCCGATGGTCTAGACGATCGAAAGCCTTGGAAAAATCCAGTTAGATCACATCAACACCTTCTCCAGCGTCAGCTGACTCTGTCCAACTACTGCGTGCAATTAGTAAATCAGTTGTACATGACCGCTATCGACGGAAACCGTGCTGCTTAGGATTGATGAGGTTGCAGTTTTCCAGACAGCACACCAGTGCATCGGCAACTATGGATTCCATGACCTTGGGGAGTATAGGAAGAAGGGTTACTGGGCGGTAGTTGGAGGGATCAGTTCTGCTTCCACCTTTGTGAATCGGGGTTATTATTCCAAGCTTCCAATTTGTGCGTTCAGCTACGATTTGCTGTAAACAATAAAAGGACGACTAGCATTTCAATGTTTCAACGTTGCCTGTGTTTCAGAACTAATGGCAGTAAAGTTCATAAGATGCGAGTAATCTATTCGAGCTGCGTTAGATCGTACAGTCTGCAATGTGTATGCAAACCCGTCCAAGCAGTGCGACAGACAAGCAACATTGATACCACAATTTGGTCTTGTTCAACAGGTCAAGTAATTCCAGTTGTCAACTGTTTATTCTTACTCATGAAAAAGTGCGCTAGGAGGACCGAGGTAACCACGCATTTTGTAAATACCAAGATCGATCCCAGTGAGGTAAATATGGCCAAGATAATATCTCAGCCAGCCAAAGTAACCTCTGAATATAAGCCGAAGAAGAGAGCTAGACGTTCCAACCACACTGCAGCGTCTGTGACTTTAAATCCTTTGCGTCACCTCACTCCCGTAAGTGGACAAGCCTCAAACAGGCCTATTTCCACTTCTCCAACCATAGACGCTTCACCTGGTGATTCAGCAATGACACCGACAGCTCAGAGCCGAAGGCAATCCGGTGCAGATAACAAGAAGGTAAACTACGCATCGATTGTCTCGACAAACGCACTGAGAGCGACACACGTAAGTCCATCTTCTTAAATGAGCATACTTGGAACAAAGCAACTTTCACCGTCAAATCCAGCGGTGCCTTCTAAACAGCCCATATTGCCTGCAAAACCATGAAGCCGACACCATCCGAACGAATTCACGCTGCGTTAACTCGTGTGCACCAATATTCCCAGATCCAAATCTGGCGCAACAAAAGGCAAGTTGCAAGACAATCGCAAGTAATTGGTGTTCCATGTGAGATGCGATGGGTATTCGGGTTGAGCCTGAAATGATGCAACCCTAGCGCGTCACCCGACCTCAGTATACTCTGGTGAACTTCGAAGTTTTCCAGTAACACTAGACTCAGCGGATGGTACAGGCTGTCCTCTACTCAGAAGTTTGTCTTTGCAACTCACCGAGCGGAGTGCGCATGTTACCCGATCTTGTTTGGAAAGATGGCCCAAACATATTAGTTAAACAACGCGGCATTCCTCATACTGATTTCAAGAAAACAATATTTGTTCATGGCGTTCTCGCGCTTCTGCGTACTACTGATCATGATGCGAACACATATGACCGGGAGCAGTGGTGCTACATCCAGGAAGCACACTCCGTTGACAGAGTAATTGCCAGATCTTTGGTAAGCGTTCCGGCATCTCCTTTCAAAACGGGCTGCGGTCCGAGAATAATTAAAGTAATATTACACGCCGAGCGAATGACGCAAGCTCTGTTGGATACCTGGTTAAAATTTCGAGCAAATTTGCCAACCGGGCATTGGCTGAAGGCAGCAGGCGAACGACCAAATGTCGGAAGCAATTCGATGGAACTTGCAAACGCTGGAACTTCTTTATCTACACAGTCCTGCAGAGGGACCGACATCACAACACCCACGATACACAACAGGACAGAGCATAGCACGAGTGAAACATCTGTGCAGGAACGCTCAGTAATGCCATACAAGTTGACGGAAATTCATAAACCAAAAACGATTAATGGCCGACCATCTAACTGCCGGCTTTACAACTAACACAAATTTGACATCCCTTAACGCACTAGTAACGACAAAAACCCTAACTTGTATGTACACAAACGAACGAGGCCTTCTAAGTAAGTTGGCCGAACTTAAAGAACACTATGCCTTACCACCTCGGGACCTCGTCATGATTACAGAGACTTACTTAAACCTTGAGATAACCGATTCGTAGTTCAATTTACCCGATAGCTCGCTGCTACAGAACGACAGAACCGGAAGGGTGGTGGTGTGATTCTTTGTTATAACACAGACCTCCTAGGTAAAGTTATGGATCACCCGGAAATCCGACCTCATGTTACGCCTCGGTGACGCCTATGGTTGCAAACAAGGACACCTGTCTACTAGCAGTGAGTTACCGCCCACCAAAAGCAACCTGGGAAATGAACTCCAAACCGAACACTATTTTTAGTTTGCTTTGAATAAGTCCTATATTCGTATTGTTATCGCTGGAAACGTTAATGTGCACGACGTAGAAAAGCCAGCAACCGTCGATTTG